GATCTCGGAAACCTACTGAAGGCTCTTGGACGCTTGGATGAGGCGAAAGTAAGGCGGCATATGAGTCGCCGCGGCGCGCTGCGATTCTTTGCTTGGATGTTTTTTGCTATGTGTTTTCTTTTTTGAAATAGCGGTTTTCACTGCCGCCGCGCTGCCTATTTTATCCAACCAAACTTTCCAGACAACCTACAGCCTTTCTAATGAACGAGGTTTTTTCTTTCAAACAGCTATGTGTGTGCAGTCTCCGGTTGGCCGCTGTCCCGTCAATCCTTCGGTCCGAACTGGTTCTGTGAACAAATGCATTCGTGAGTTCCCCTTCCTAATACCCTTCGCGCGATTCCTTAAAGGTGCAAGTTTTGCACTGCGCTTTAAGTTATTTCACATCAAGTTCGGCTCAGGAGTGGTGAGTCGCTGTATGTTGTAGGTACATTTGGCGCTCGCATGCATAGCTGTAGACCTGTTGGTTGGCAGCCGCTCAGCACACTCGTCTTCCCCATATCATTACGTGTTTTTTCCTCTTTGTAGTCATGCTACCTAAAGGCGATCGAGACCTGTCCAACTTTTGCAGTGGCTTGGAGCAATCTTGGTTGCGTCTTCAACGCTCAAAATGAAATATGGTTGGCAATCCACCACTTTGAGAAGGTAGGTTTCATTGATTTAATTAATCGTTTCCTAGGCTGTAACATTAGATCCCACCTTCCTGGATGCGTATGTAAACCTAGGAAATGTACTCAAGGAGGCCCGAATATTTGATCGAGCGGTAGCAGCCTATCTGAGAGCTCTAACATTATCTCCAAACAACGCTGTCGTTCACGGGAACTTGGCCTGTGTTTACTACGAGCAGAACTTGATAGACCTCGCAATCGACACATACAAAAGGGCAATTGAATTGCAACCCAACTTCCCCGATGCTTACTGCAACTTGGCTAATGCTCTCAAAGAAAAAGGAAAGGTTTCGGACGCAGAGGATTATTACAACACGGCTTTGAGACTATGTCCTACGCATGCGGACTCACTGAACAATCTAGCTAATATTAAACGTGAGCAGGGAAAAGCTGAAGAAGCTATACGGTTGTACGTTCGAGCTCTAGAGATATATCCTGAGTTTGCAGTGGCTCATTCCAACCTCGCCAGTATGCTTCAGTTGCAGGGAAAACTTCAGGAAGCTTTGTTGCATTATCGAGAGGCGATTCGCATATCACCAACATTTGCTGATGCCTACTCTAATATGGGGAACACGTTAAAGGAGTTGCAAGATGTTCAGGGCGCAATGCAGTGCTACCAAAGAGCTATACAAATCAACCCTGCGTTTGCCGACGCTCACTCAAACTTAGCCAGCATCCTAAAGGACAGTGGTAATCTCGCGGAGGCCATAACGTCCTACAAGACTGCACTTAAGTTGAAACCCAATTTCCCAGATGCTTTTTGTAACCTTGCTCACTGCTTACAAATTGTGTGTGACTGGACTGACTACAAGCATAGAATGAAGAAACTCGTCTCTATGGTTCAGGATCAGTTAGAATCCAACCGCCTACCATCTGTACATCCGCATCACTCTATGCTATATCCACTGACACATGAACAGCGTAAAAAGATAGCCGGAAAGCACGCCTCTCTCTGCTTAGAGAAGGTTTCTCTGTTACACCATCAACCGTTCAGGTTTGCCAAAAAGTTACCTGCTGGTCAGCGCTTGAGGATTGGGTATGTTAGCTCTGACTTCTGCAATCATCCGACTAGCCACTTGATGCAAAGCATTCCTGGTTTGCACGATCGAACAAAAGTTGAGGTATTTTGTTACTCGCTGGCACCAGATGATGGTACCAACTTCCGAGCCAAGGTGGCGAATGAAGCCGAACACTTTATTGACTTAAGTGGGATTCAATGTCATGGGAAAGCTGCTGATAAGATTGCTAGTGATGGGATCCATATCCTACTGAATATGAATGGCTACACGAAAGGTGCTCGTAACGAAATATTTGCGCTAAAACCCGCACCCATTCAAGCTATGTGGTTGGGTTATCCAGGCACAAGTGGTTCGACGTTTATGGATTACATAATTACAGATATGGTCACGTCACCTCTTCACCTTGGTCACCAGTACTCTGAGAAGTTAGCTTATATGCCCAAGACATTCTTTATCGGAGACCACCAGCAAATGTTTCCTCACTTACGCAATCGGGTAGTTCTAGAGAGTGCTGAAGATGCTACTGCTGGTCGTCGCGTGATGGATAATTCTATCGTGGTCAGCGGTCTGGATATCAAACCCTTGTTGCAAGTGGCTTGTGTACGTGAGGTCAACTACGGAGGGCGCTTGGTTGAGGTTCACGGTAACCAACGGAAAGAAGTATCTTATTTTGTGAAGCTAACGGTCTTAACTATTCCTTCCTTACAACCTATTCAAAATATGATACGTACGAATAGTCCTTCCTGTACCATCAATGGCGTGGTCATTCACAATGGTTTGGTGACACAGCAAACACAATCGAAAGCCTCAGCTGGTGAGGAAGTGCCGCGTGACCTAATACTAACCTCTAGACAACATTACGGCTTGCCGGAGGATGCTGTTGTATTTTGCAACTTTAATCAACTGTACAAGGTTGATCCGTCAACAATGCGGATGTGGGTTGAGATTTTAAAGGCTGTTCCTAACAGCGTACTGTGGCTGTTACGTTTTCCAGCAGCTGGAGAAGCTGGGGCACTTGCAGCAGCCTCGGAAATGGGTCTTCAGCAAGTCAATCGCCGTATTCTTTTCAGTAATGTCGCACCCAAAGAGGAGCATGTTAGGCGCGGTCAGGTAAGGTCCCATAGTTTCCAATAACTTTTCAATACAGGTTGCCGATGTCTGTTTGGATACGCCCTTGTGCAATGGACACACTACTGGGATGGACGTCTTGTGGGCTGGTTGTCCTGTGGTCACCCTTCCTCTTGAGACTTTGGCTAGTCGGGTCGCGGCAAGTCAACTTCATACCTTGGGGTGTCCTGAGCTTGTAGCTAGCAATCAAGAAGATTATGTTCGTATTGCAACTAAGTTGGGGAACAATCGGGAGTACTTGCAGGCAATGCGAGCCAAGGTAAGAGTTGCTTTTTTGTTGTAACTTTCGTTTGACAGGTTTGGAAGGCAAGAGAGTCATCACCGCTTTTCAGCTGCCGTAGCTACGCTGCCGACCTAGAGGCTTTGTACTACCGAATGTGGCAACAGTACGAGGCCGGCACAATAGACCACATCGTAGAGTGGCCCTCAAAGTCCAACAAGGAGAATGCCTAGTTTACTTAATGTGTTCTTTTCACCTGTAAATATATCATTTATTATCATCACTGCTCTGTTTCTTTGATATGACACCTGAGAAGTTATAATGTTAGTTGTTTACTGTGTGGTGTGGCTCTGGTAAACTAATGGGGTTATTTGATGGAGTAGTTTCCAGTTGCGTTTATTCTGTTGGGTAAGGTTTTTCTTCATGAAGTGTGTCACCATCTTTGTACCTGTAAGGTCGAGATACGTAGTTCAGCTTGGTTTCGCATAGAGAGCTAGGTTTTGTGTCTTGACACGATCGAAGATGTTCTCACGTGAATGAGGGAGTTCCATGTGAGTCAGGCGTATTTGTGGAGACGAAGTAATTGCTGATCCGCTTTCGTAGGGACACTGTGGATTACGATAGTCTTGTTATTGAGTTATTTTAATCAGTTGTAGTTGCTAGGTTTATGTGCCTACAGCTTGAGGATTTTCCCTTTAGTTGGTCGCATTGCATATAGTTGCAGTAGGAGCTTGTTGACAGCTTACTGCTACACAAATATCAGTATACTAACCAGAATCTAGTCTGTTTTGAAGACTAATGGTTTGTCAACTTGAAATTAGGTATAACTAATTCAATTTTAGCTTTCTGAACAACAGGAATGTAAACTTAAACGACCGAGGTTGACATATAGTGATAAGGTGATATACAGCCCATGATCTATAGTGCTCTAGGAGTTGTCCTCTTTGTGAACTTGTAATGAACCTTCAGGGCCAAGTGTTGCATAAAAGTTAACTGCCAATATTGGCGGATAAGTCCTTTTTAACCGATAGATGCATGTCAATTAACGAAGCCGCATATTCCGAGCATAACTGTAGGCAAGAGACTGACTTGTGGTAATATCATTACCTAGATAGTTCCTTCAACTCCTTCTCGCGAATTAAGCCAGATAAAAACCGTTCTTGGTCTCTTGACACCACATTGACAATCCCAACGTCCGAGCCTCATCACAAATGGGTTGAGAAGCCTCGCCAGTTGTAGCTCTGTCATCCCAAACCTAGGGTGTATTTAGCATCTCTGAAACACATGCAGACAGTGTAGTTATTCGCTCATTCCCGGCTAAGTAACATAGTAGGTAGTTCTCGCCGACTTTCGGGTTTGTGAACTGTATTGAATTAGTGAGCGAAGAATTTGCTGCTCCCGTGGATCTTAGTAGAGAGTCGTTTGTGTGCTGTCCGGCTGCGTGGGTATTGTATCAGATTTGGAGGTAGCCCTGTCAGACTACCGGTGTTTATCATTGATTATCCAACTCTATTTGGAAAGAAGCAAATCTAGCTGTGGTAGCCACGGTAGGACTAGCTTGAGGAACACAGCATGTACGATTCTACGTTTCATACTCGTGCAAAAACTAGGTAGGCTTTGGAGAGATCGACACTCATGAGGCACAAGCATTCTTCCAACAAGGATGAGGGTGCATTGACTACATCTTTGTTATTCAACAGAGCCCTGAATACAAGCACATATACCGGCGTCCATTAGCTTAAATGTCTCTCGACAATCCGTTCATGCCGCATCAGTACCTGGCTGTAGACGAAATGTCGAGAAAGTACGTTATGCTAACCAAGGCACACCTATCGAACTGATGCATCTGTTTAGGAATGTATACACAACATTCGTGGTAACTGTATACTATCTGAATTCATTGGTGGTATTTAATTTCTTTGACGAATTACTAATTTTGAACGCACCTTTCACATTTTAGTGAAAATACGCTCCTATATATTGTGTCTAACTAAATACTCTATATCATGGCTCTGTAAGATCGGTGCATTCTCCCCTAATTTTCTCATGCTCCGTGTTGAATCCGTAATTACGTAAAGTGATTCTTGGTCCAAGAATGGCCTGGCTCTCGTATTACAAATTATCTGGTGGAATCTCACCAAATTTTGACACTACCAATGTTACGTCCAGTGATACACTTTCAATCACTAATGTTATTTTTTATACACCATTTTTGTGTCATTTAGACCATATGTGTTTCACAATACTGTTATGCATCTTTCGTTCGAACGAGGATTTTTGTTATCTGGGAGGCATTTTGTGTTCAGAAATAGTGTTCTTATCGTTTGGATGCGGAATAGTCTTACAACTGAAGGCTTGTATTATAATTATATGAAACATTTTGTTAAAGATCGCAGGATTTTTTCCATGTTACTTTTTTAGTACGAGACATGGCGTCTGGATGCAAAAATTACACAGACCTCGACTCACGCAGTAATGAATCCTCAAGTTCTATCCCTGACCACCAATCTAGTTCCTATGCCGTTACGTGTGTGTTTTTGTTTGTGCAGTATGCAAGTGTATTTTGACTGACGAAGCTCAGTGTAACCACATTGTAGGGGTTTAATTTCCAACCTTTAGGCCTTAAGATATAAAGGCGACGTACTTACAAGGATAAAACCGAATAATAGTATAACTGTACTGCGGCTGAATCATAATACCTTTTTTCATGATGGACAATTATTTACAAGTGATTGGGATAATGGAATTGCTACATTATTACGGAAGTCTCTTGAACATCGTCAAGCTTAATGCATAGGGCTACATAGGCTTGGACTCTTCAGTATTATTTGTTTGTATTCCACACTAACAACGGTTATATGAATCCCTAGTTGAGCTATTATAACATTAAGAGCTATATGTTTTTAAAAAGTTAATTAAATCCACAAAATATAAAAGCAATTATCATCAAGTAAAGTATCTATAGAATATACAAAATTACATAGGAATTTATTATCAGAATAGTTTATTCATGTACAGGTACTCTTTCATTGAGTGATTTACAGTCACGTCGATGTCTTAGCATAGAAGTTTGTACAGTTCCTTCAATAACAAACGATTGTCCACAAAGTTCACAAGTTACAGATTCACAGTTGAAATCAATATCTTCTACTTCATTACTGGTTTGTTCATATGAAGATGTTTTCTGCTCGACAGGTTCATTTCCAGATGATGACGCCACAAGTGTTTTAGAGATAATTTGTTTACGAAGTCGTAAAGCAAGATCATAACTACTACCAGGATCATAAAATGTTTCATCTAAATCTTCTGTTTTAGTCTCATGCCCGTCTGAGATTAATTCAGGATACAATCTGTCGGTGAAAAAAAAGTATAACAAGTTGAATATATACATATTCGTTCATTCAGATGTTGAGTTTGTGTGAATTTGATTGATTTCTCCATAAAAAAGGGAACTAAGAGTAGTGAATAAATAAATCCTTCTGGTTTACTATTAATATCACCAGGTTTACAAATGGCCCTGTCAGAATACAAAGTGACAGAGTTTCAACTTGACGACTTATGTTTCCTTCCCATAATGTGTATCGCTATCATACAATTTAATCGACAATCACACTTCATTCAGTAAATCCTGTTAGTCACGAATTCTAATTTCAACTTTCAGAAACCCATATCAAACCAATCCAGTGTACTATGTTTGCTAAAAGTTCTCTTACTGACAGTGGTTTATAAAAAATAACCCACTATTATATATGCTTATTAAAAATTCAAGAACATAAAACCACATATTTGTGTCCATTGATGGAATCAATAACCAGCCTCCAAAGCCTCAGGATGGTCGGGGGTGGGTGCCTTGCGCTGCGGGTTGGCCACCCCTCCGCACACCTCTTCAATGTCCATATGGGTAGTATGTGAAAGATCTATTAAAATAAATTTATTACACAATATGGAACTGTTACATCAGGATGCTAATAGGAGATTAACTTTTCAACTATACTGACTGACAGTCATTTATAAACACTCTTCTCAACTTTAGAATGCAAAATACCATTTTATAGGACATACAGGTTTGTGTTGACACTATCAGATAAAGTGAAGCAAGATGGTTGATTATATAAAGGAAGAAATTAAACCAGTTTTGGTTAGTTGATGAAGAATGGTAAAAGGATTCTAATTAACTTAAACCGCTTGTAATATTTGTGTGATATCTAAATATTTGCTAAGAGTTGATTATTCTACACTACTATCACCAGTGAATAACGACCATTAAAAGTGGTAAAGATTGTAACGGATTCACTGGCTCAAATTGTTACTATCTTGGAGCATCTCTTGCTAGTTATGCGACCATAAGGAATGGGAAGCAATAAACTTGGTGATTGGATTGTGACACGTTACCCAGCATCTCCGGCTACCGTGTTCCTCAGTAATTACACATAATGTTAGTAGATTCTCAAGTGTTTTTCAGGGGGATAACATACATACACACATATATAATCATGATGTATACTTATAAATAATTAACTTACGAATCAACATTCAAATAGTCTGTTACTTGATAACCACCTTTAAGAGGATGAAATTTAATGCCTGATTCTGGATCTGGATTCGGTAATGGAATATTGTTTGGGATTACTGGCTTCTTAATGGGATTTCGTTGGGCTATAAAAAGATGGTGAGAAATAGCAAGCATCACAGTTATGAGAATTCAAGCATTATTACCGACATAAGTATGAACTAATCAATTATGAAAAGAGTTCACGTAGTCAATATTGACCTCTACTCATAAATTAGAAATTTTCTTACACTTGATGATTTATTTGCATAAAAGGGGGATGGATTTCTGTAGGCATACCGAAAGAAGTTACAGGTAATTGAAGTATTCAAAAAAGTAAGACAAAGATAAGAACAGTAAATATCACTGGTTCATATGATTAGTTGGGAACAGATCAGATCAACCAGTACTGATTGCTTCGTTATGAGGTTCAAGTAACCTAGTTGTCAGACAGTTATTTTATCCGTTTGGAGCTCAACACGGTTATCATTATTATCTTTCATTTGGGTTCCGAGTGGAACTTAGGGCTTCAACAACACATCTCTAATGTCTTCTATTTTCCGCTCTCCTTTTCAGCTGGGTCCACGATTGCCCATAATCTCGCATCTCCTCCAACTCTCACGATCTTCTCCATGTCACCCTCGCACCGACGACCCACTCGTCTTCTCCCATTCGAGTTACACTCGAGCTATGGCATGCACTGCGCGCGATATCATTCGACAGTCTCCTCAGCGTGGGCCTAATCCATCTCCATTTTCTCCTGCATATTTGTTCAACGATAGGTTCTCAGTTAGTTTGTTCCCATGATTCCTTGTTGCTAATTCTTTCTGGCTAGCCCACCATTTGATCCTCAATATAGAGCCAGCGAAGTGGGCAGCTGTTGATAAAAATCTGTTGTAGTCTGTTGGAAATGCTCTTCGTGATTCACACTTCAAGTTCCTGACCCATATAGAAGAACTGACTGACTTGACATTGGTGTTGAAAATCCGAATCTTGTTCTTCACAATGACTGAGTGTAGAAGATTTCCAAACCGAATTCAGGTTGATGGAGGCGTATGTTGCCTTCCCGATTCTGGCTGGCTTTGACATCTTCATCCATTCCACCTGTGGTTGAGACGATGTTTCCTAGATAAGTGAAGGAAGTGACCTCTTTCAAATTTCTCCCGTTGATGGTGATTGGTCCTGGTTGTTGTTGTTGTTGCTGTGGGTTGGTTATCTTCATCACCTCTGTCTTCTCTATGCTTACCTGGAGTCCTGTCTTCGCCGCCTGCTCCCTCAGACAGTTTGTTGGTTTTCACCTGCAAGTCCTCAAGTTTGTGTGACATTAGTAGTCCACGAAATCCAGATCTTCAAGAGCCCCCTTATTGGCCCAACGTATTCCTGTCTTCTCAGTCGCCACACACAGTTCGCTGTATAATCCAGTCCACCACAATTAAGAATATCATCGGTGATAATAGGCAGCTATGTCTTACCTCTGTATTCACTTCAAAAGCTTCTCTGAGTTTTCCGTTGTGGACCACCTGAATCAATTCAGCTGAGAAAGTCGAACTCCTCAAAAGATCAGAATTCTAGCTAGCTAGTTGAGAAAGCAGAATCAACTAAATAATTTCGAGGCGAAATCTCACTATATAGCATAATGATCAGATCATCACATAACATCCTTATGAGACTGATTCAAAGGTGTACGAACTCTTGCTGTTCTCGTAAATACTGGTGTCGGAGACAGTAATAATAATAATATAATATTATTTAACGTAAGTCGATATACGTGAACAGAGTGATTTCAAATATAATAAGATGTAAACAGTGTGATTCATCTTTTTGACAGACCACACACACGCACACAAGATATCATTTCACATTGTTCTCTCCTGACTCGTCTTTTTAGTGATTATTCTAGGTGGTCTCATAAAGACGCAAGTCACACAAACACAAGTAAATTATTTTAATTTTTTGGCCTAAACTGTCTGAGACACTTGTTTGAATGCGACTTACAGTTTCAATTCACAAAGATTGGAAGTGGAGAGAAAAAAAGTGTTTTCGGACGACTAGTATGATCATGTTTGATTCATATTTTAGGTGGCATTCATACACACATATAGATAGACAAAATTCTCGCTAACTGAACCATAAAACAGTGAGGCAGTATAACCAGTTTTATCTGAAGATATGTAGTTCACATTTCGCTGAATATTAAGCTTTATTTCAATTTCTTAGTATTTTTTACTTATTTCTTCTATAATACCTATAGACGTTAGCATCACAAATGTATTTTATTTTTATACACCCATCTTCGTTGGTTTTTGAGGTGGTTGAGCTTAGTTAGTTCACTTGAAATGATTAGAACGCTATGTAGTTGAAGAAAAAAGAACTGACCGAGTAAGACACACAGACTGCCTTTCACACTTACTTCCATTATTATTGGGTTGTTTTCGGTATAATTGTTTCACATCAGCTGCTAACAACCGTTTTATACAGTATGCTCCACCAGGTTGACCAGCTAGAAATGCTGCTAGACTATGTGATAGCATACGTTGTAATCGTCGAATCTTGAGTCTATTTTCATCCTCTTTGAAAGCAGAATTCATTTTCATTGATGCTCTTCTCGCTGTAGTTGTGGTTGTTGTTGATGTAACAATTGTATTGTTATCTCCAGCACCACTGTCTTCTGCAAGTGTTTCATTACGACGGCGTAAACATTCTGGAATGTATTAGAAATAAATAAATAAATAAAGGAAGGTTTATAGGTAAGGATAAAGACAGAAATTGTCCAGTATTCTCTGAGGTTCATTTTTACATCACTAGTCTGTGTGATATTTTTAATAATAACTCCACTAAGAAGTGAAATATATTTACGATGAAATACAGAAAGCTCCGACAACATAAACTAATTTCAATTCTTAAATTTAAGTATGTTTTCTTTTAAAAATTAGTTTGCTTTACCTAATTTAATCTACATTATCCACACTACCTAACAGAAATAAACTCCTTATAGAACTGTTTTAAATGTATACAGTCTTTTCAGTTTAATTATTACTTTCCCAATTAATAAGTTACATTTCAGAAATAACAAGGAGGATTTGTAGCCATAGTGAGTGGTTTTGCTGTTTTCAGCAGTGAAAACGTTATCTAAAAGCGAAAAGAATGCTAAACGCAAAAAGGCTATCCAGCACAGAGAAGACAACAACATAAAGAAATGTTTTACATACTCCACACATCTAATCAGCTCTTATGTTTCACTTATGTGTGCGTGTACAGTTATAGAAAAAGTAGTCGTACTCATTTGTGAGTACACTAACTTATTGATGAAAATATATACTAGTAGTTATATTGCTTACTCAAGGTACTGGGAATTGTGGTTCATTGGCTTAAACACTCAACTTTCAGTTAATGAGTATCGAGTTCGAATCTTACTTCATCCATTTCAGCCTGGGCTACACTGGGTAGTATCACCAATCCTCACATAACCTGGTATATGAGAAATCTGACCAACGAAACTAAGTTCTAAGTATAACTGTAACCTACTCTCTTCTTTACTAAATTCTTTTTTCAAGATTCTTGTTTTGTAACAATAATTGATGTTTTAGTAAATTAATTTAGTTTAAATTAAACTTCTGCTGTTTTTGGAGAGTAAATAGCAATCCGAATGCTACAGTTTATTTTTAACCTATTGGGTGTGGTTCACAATCTAACATACAGATACGTACAAAATTAGTAGGTCATATTGATTTTTATTTTAGTATATTTTATCAAATAATTAAACAACGTTGCACACATTTTTAACTACAAAAGGCAGTTATGACTCATCAGCTTAGTCATCACTGTTGGAATCAGTGAGTTATGCTTTCAAATGCACTTGTATTTACCATAATGACTCAGAGATCAGATAGCATCAACAATGCGGTTTTGATATTAAGTGTAGTGAAAATGACAGTTAGTGTCAAAGATCTTCACCTTATTACGGATTCGTATTGTTGTTTTATTACTATTTGATGTGACCACTATTACTGTTATTATAATTATATCCCTATTAAAATGTTGGTGGTTATAATATTTAAAAAAAAACAGTTAGTTCTTGGCTATCCAAAACGAATTCCCCATGTACAAGAGTTATTCATTCCTTCTGTGTTCCGCGTGGAAAATTGAGCTTTAAGCTTTCTAGGCTCTGAAGGTTCAGTAGCCATAGTGTTGTTTTTACGAGGTGCGGCTGTTAGCCGTACGTCCGACCTCCCCCCCCCCCCTTTAACAGACTCACTACCGGCTTAGCAAGGTCTAGTTTTACATCAACCGAGAAGGCAATCACGGACCACTTGCGTGGTTGGCGAGCACTCTACCGCTGAACCACCATTGTCCCAGTGATAATATCAATAATACTAATACTTTAGTTGCTGTCTGATTAACCTTGTTTCTATATTAGATCATTCTTGTATTACCTGATCAACTATCTAAACGTGACAAACCTCATGTACACACACACACACACAAATAATTATATATAAATGCGATTGTACAGCTATGAGAATGAATTCGCCGAAAAGAGTCTCTTCGCTGAACGTCTTCTCTCTTTTTCATATGACTCAATGGGGATTTTCAAGCTACTTATGATATTGCGTGGAGGATTTCATCATGAGCTGACATCAGTTAGAGAACCACTGGAAAACCTGGGAGTACTGGACAGCTGTTTCGTCCTAGTTTGGGACTCTTCAGTAGTACTCACCCACCGGGATTCGAACCCAGGACCTTCTGGTTACAAGGCGAACTCGTAGACCGTTGAGCCACTGGGACCCGATCCAATGGTCCTTGAATTCTAACTTCTGCCAATTCACGACATAGCGCGACCATTTCGCAATGTCTTCATATGATATGACAATAATAATAAGTCTGCTCACCTGCTAGTTCACATTCCATCAAATACTGCATTGTTGAGCGTAACCAAATAGTAGTTGCCACTGCTCTCTGAGCAGCTTCTACATCATGTAGTCTTACTTCCAACCAAGAATCGAAAACAATCCTAATAAATTGATAAAATGATGATGATAATAATGGTAACTTAAATTGAAATTAATATGTTAAACTAAATGAAGCAGAGAAAGAGAGATACAGATTCAAGGACTTAAAAGTAATTTATACCGGATACAAAGAAAATGGTATATAAACAAACTATAAATGTGTGTGAATTAAAAACAATTCCAACAGTTGGTATGATCACGGGAAATAATTTTGCTCGAAATATTTTCAAAATCAAAAATTAATCGTTGTGCGTGGACGAACACTGAAATATAATAATTATAACCAATTAATTTTATCCCATTGTCGAATATTACTATTAATACAGAAAGCCAAAAAGAATACTGAACAAATCTTTCACACTAATTTAGCTAGAAATACCAGTGATCCTTTTGTCTAAAGAGAGGAATTCAGTTAATCTTTAGATTTCATTACGTTAACGGATTAGACAAATCACCAAACTACGAAAATTAATTTCCAGTATCATAGAATTTCTATTTTCCTGAATTTCATTCCTTTCGTTTTCCAGGTGGGACATACGGCTTCAATCTTAAGCTGTAGCTGTGGTTTTACTGGGTGGGATTGCTACACGCATGCCTGACCCTCCCCCCCTCTTTACCGAGCTTACTATCGACTAAGCAAGGTTAAGCAGTGCGTCCCTCAGGAATCGAACACCGGACCACGTGCGCGGTTAGCGAGTTTTCCTATAGCTGAACATCACAGATGATAGGGACTTGTTAAATTTTAGGAAAACAGAATCAATAAGGAGATAATTACTTCGCTTTATCCCAATATTTCCTTTTTATATCAATAACACATCCATTCGGAAACTAGTGTTGACATTTGTTTAAATCAATTCTGTTTTTCCTGTTGACTGATTGGACTGAAATGTTCGGCTTTTTTAGTCAGGACGTTTCGTCAATGTTTTATAATAAACCTGACGTTATCTGGTGGATGGTGATTAGCAGTGGAATCCAGAATGAGCACTTCGTTTTATTTGGGAATCGTTGGCTGTGTATGTACATGCAGCCATTAGTGAGTGATGGTGTTCCTACTGAGACTCGAAGCCAGCACCCATCGGTGATGTCTAGTTAGGTGAAAATCGAAGCAATGTAAGTAGATAAATATTTGTTTACAATTTCAACGCATCATTGACTTTTAAGTCTTGAATAATAACTCTCCATAGATAAAATTGTTAACAAGTCGAATTAAGCTCTGTACAAATTTCTTTTTTAATGAAATCAACAGTCAGTTATACACAAAAGAAAATGAAATTAAGCATACACAGCTATAAACCTCGTGAGTGATATCAAAGAAAAACAGAAAAGATAAAAAAACAGTGAAACACTTCTGATTGATGATTATAAGACTAGATTTCACGCTCTGCTAAAGAGGAAAACCTATACATAAAATCGAAAAGTATTATTATTTGATAACATAACAATTAGGAAAGACTAGTTAGATAGGCGCCTTCATTCAACTATGCTTATAAAATACTTATCATATATTTCACGATATTATATTTCTAGGAGTCGTCCCAACAGAAAGACACAGACAGCAACATCAGTTACCATATGCCAATCAATTTACGCTTATTTCTGACCAGTAGAATATATATCAAAAGTTAACTATGAATTCCTTATTACTTATGTTTTGGAAGACAAAACACTAAATATTATGCATCAAGTAAGGATCAATATTTTTAGCATAGAATTAATTTATATCAACGCCTGTTGAGTGAGGTTGAAGCAGGAAATAACGGCGGCCTGCTTAAATTACTGGGCTATATCAATTTCTATCCAAAATAATGAATAAAAGTTTTCCTATATTAATTTATTTATTAGATATATCACATAGTGAAACAGTCTTATTTAATAGATGACAAAGTTTCGAACACAATTTATTCTTCATAATCATATCAATTATAATCACACGACTTCGAAACTTTCGTATTTGTTGTAGGGGTAGTAGAATTTTCCAGATGCCTGGGACAGGTGTTGAATCATTCCTATTACACGTATTTACAGTTGATTCGATAAATAAAGCTTTCGTTATCAATCTCTCTCTCCGCCTTATCTCATCCCATCCTATTTTATGGTTGTGTGTAATTGCATGTAGTGAGTGGTATAGCTGAATTATTCTCCAGATCTCTTGTCTTATTAGAGTCAACTGATCTAGATTTAGCTAGATTTTTGTACTTCGCTAGTCTAACTGCACCTGTTCTACTACTTTGACCTATGCTACGTATGCCTAGTCATCGCCTTCCTCGACGGGCAATGTTAGCTGATATAGGGTCAGGTTGGAAAAGAGCTAGCGTGGTCAAACGAAAACATGGCACCAGTCAATGAAATCCACAACAGTTAGTCTACGCCACGTAGGAAAGTGTAGACTTCCTGGTTGTGGTCCTCGGGACGGTAAAAACCAATGGTTGGAAACAATTGGTGACATGGCTCAAAATCTTTCTCAATGGCGCAGATGCATCCACTCCTTGTGACTTATGATTTCCAATGAAACTTTATTATTCTTCGTTATTACTGTTTCTTTTTCTCACACCTCTGTTTACTGTCATTATTAAGCATTTCTCCTAATTTCTTCTCTTACTTTGTATGCTACATGGCGACTTGAACTGCTGCACATCGGTGCAAAGTTCTATGTCGAAAACCGACCGACCGACCGATCTGACAATCATTGCAGGTAGTGTATTAGATAAACTAAATTGTTTTGTTTAATTGGCTTGTTTTCAATTGAGTTTGTGGGTTTGGGAGCCAATAAAAGTTTCTCTATTTTTCTTTGTCCGTGCGTGGGTCGCTAAATATACCCCATGCATGTTTTTAATTGACTTTTAACCATCTACTAATACTACTACTATTATTACCATTTCTCAGAGACAAAAGAAAAATACGATAAGGGGAATATTTTATACTTCAGATCGAACGGCATTCTGTCGTATGAGATACTATAGATTGCCTTTTACCTGAAGATCTTAGAAATATTATACAATAAATTAGATTAAGTTGAAAATCTTGTATATGGTGTTGACTTTTTGTGCAGAATAAAACTGTTATTATTATTATTAATATAAGAAGTTTTGAAGATTAAAATGATCAATATGTTACCTCTATGTAAAACATAAATCTAATCTAAAAGAGTGAACAGACGAACACAATGGTTGACTGCTGATCTCGGCTAACATTCAGGAAAAATAACCGGAATAGATTGCTGCAGCCTATAAGCTATACGCATTAAAATGAACCACATTAACATGTATTCAGGGTTTATCCTCACTGAAATATTTCCATTGGATATATCTAATCTCTTTTTTTTATCTTTGCTGTGATGGCCTCTCATAATAGCTGATTTTACAATACTCAGTGTTCAATGTTGTCAAAAGTGGATTGCTTATAGTTTTATAAAAAGAATTTTCTTTTAAAGTAATCTTATATAAATAAACATTTTTTCAATGTTTACAGTGTCATTAAATCTTTTTTTCCTAATAATAATAGTAACAAACAATGAACCATAGAGGTTCACTTTAGATTGAGTAGAAGGGTGCAAAGTACATATATAAGATGTAGTAAAGATTAAAAAAATATCATGATGTTTAGTATTGTTATTAAAATTACTTATTGTAGACTCAGCTTACAAAACAATTGAAGCCTTGTAAAAACTGATTGAATTTTATTTCTTTGTATTTGCATTTTTCTATTGTTGGTTTATCTGGAGTGGAATATCTGGCCATATTACATAAAATATTAGATATTGCTTAGTAACTTAGCTTATTACTATTTTGTTGAACGGTAAAACAATGGAATACATTATGAGTGTTGATTTCTATCTAAGATATGTCAACTGGTTGTAGCTGCACATCAGAGTAAGAACACAATCAGTCGCTGGAATGCATGTATATCCTGCTAACAAGTCGTTAAATAGAAGAAAAAAGAGACACGCATCCGAGAATTCATTGCTAGTCACCATTCACCAATTGACTTCACAGTTCTTCAAACATTGAAGGTTCAGTAGCGTTAGTGCTGTTTTGATTTACGGGGTGAGGTTGCTAGACTCAAGCCTAACCTTCCCACTTATCGGTCAGTAAACTCGGCGAGGTAAAGAAGTGCATCGACCAGAGATCGAAACCCTAATCATGTGAATGGTTGGCGAGCATTCTACCCTTGAACCACTGACAATCCAAATTAAATTTTTAGTAAAGAAAAACTAGTCTTTCTAGTTGGATCAACAATCGAGAATATAATCTGAGTCAATCTAAGATAACTGACCAATGTATTAATTTTAATTAGGTAGCTTGAAAATCCCCATTGAGTCAGATGAAAAAGAGAAGACGTTCAGCGAAGAGACTTTTTTCGGCGAATTCTAATTGGACCGGAAGTCAGTCGATATTCGGATGGCTAAGTTGACAAAATACCTTTACTACTTCACTGAGTGATTGGGGGTTTTAACCAACTTTAAAAGAGAAATGAGTTCTATCAACACTTGAAGTATGTTTATCTAATCGACCTCACTTAATGTACGAATTTGGAAAAGGCAGAATTTCCTGCTTATTGTGTTCAGCCATCTAACTAAGTAAACAGTCACTCACAACTAAATGTAAGTGTTCAATTACACTTTAACTACTATTGCAAACAGTGTTAAGCGACAAGTGGGAAGACAATTGCACATTATATATATATATATATATATATATATATCGCCACATGACATTTGTTTTCCACTAAAATGTAAGAAATAATCAATTAGTTTGTTCTAATTTTAAGAATTCAATGTTTAAATAAGCAGGTGTCATGAAATGATTTATGAAAAATTATATAAATTAGTTAACATTTTGTGAAAGCAAATTACCACGATTTTATATTCACTTAAAATTCAATTAAATGCAATAACCTACTGACTGAAAGAAAGGCTCCCTTGTCAAGCTACTAGAGAAGGGCGACTTAGGCTCGCCCCTGCAAGAACTGGTGTGGAATAATGCTTTTGTCCACGTCAAAGTGA